ATTATCCAGATCAATTACGTTTTCCTCGTCGGTGAGGAATGGAAATACGTGTTGCATTAAAATAATGTCACGAAAATATTGACCGGTCCAAGATTCACCTTTGTCTTTAATCACCCAATGCATTTTTTTCGCGGTGAAAATGATAAAAATACCGATACACGCTTGGTTTTTAACCATTTCGCGATACCTTTCATCGTCTTCAATATCTTCAACACTTTTTGCCCAAATCCTATCATTTTGATAATTTGGTTTGCGAACTGTCCAAACATAAAATTCATCTGATGGTGCCAGATGAAGAAAATCTTCTTCAGTCCAATCTTTCAACCAATCACAGAGCCATAATCGATCTGATATATGAGTTTCAGATTTTAACGGTCTTGAAATAACATGAAAAGGCTTTAATCCTTCCCTACGACGGTAGTTATTAACTGTTTGTCGAGTAACATATTCTTTTTGTTTCTTTGCAATCTCTTTCGCCACGACAGAACCGCTTTTCCGTTGGTGACCACTTGCTTCACGAATAATGTCCTGAGCAGCTCTCGATAACTTGAGTTTAGGACCAGCATTCGAATAATCAGCAAAACATTGGTCACACGATTTTTCCCACCATTCTGTAACAAATCGAGTCGTACGGTGAATTTTGTCGGCAATCCATTGTCTATTTATAAATGTTGCACCAGCATCACGAGCTTCTCGGAAAGTAATGCATTTAATTCTATCAATCATTCTTTGTTGTTCGGTATCATAAGCGCCAGCCATTTGAAATAACAAACGAAAAAACACTGAGATTTCACTCGACTATAACTTTCAGACAGTCCGAGAACGAAAAAATTTTTCAAATAACTAGTATCACGTGGAGAGAAGAACAGAACGCCAAAGAACCATCTTATTGTGTGAGTCATAGTCATATATCATCATCGTTATCATTTCTCTTTCGTTTTCATAAAAAATGTTCGTTTTCAATGTCTCAAAATGTATGAAAAATGATTTTTAACGTGTTTTTGAAAGAAAATTTCGTTGTTTTTAAAAATTTGGTACACGAAAGTTCTTCAAAGTCTTACTATTTACTATCACTAAACCCCATTTTTCACGGGCTTTCATTTGGTATAAAATTCATGATATCTCCGATTCGAGATCATACTGTTACCCCCCTGGAATAATATTATTTACCACCCTGTAAACACTTTCGAGTGTAACATTATCAAGCACAATAAATAAGAAAAAAAACTTATTGCGACGCATGCGTATAATGTATGGCATATGTGGAGGTTTGAAATTCAGAGCACATATCCGTTCTTGTGAGTTACACTCCCTAGATATTCAGTTTTGCACAAAACTCCAAGTTTATAACAAGTATTCGGAACTCCGATTCCGACCATCTTTCGTTCCAGTTCGAGTTCACAGGGCATGCAAACTCGATTCAAAACAAGAATATCAATATAGAAGCTTTATCTCGAATCATATACGGTTCTCAAAAGCTGTGAAAACTATATGAATTTTTTGTCAAACGATGACCTTCTAAAGTGATTTTTGACTTAAGAAAAAAGTTTACTGACGTTTTCTTATAGCATCGGATATATTTGGATTTAGATAGAAATGAACTGCATCTCAGATTCGCAGTTCCTGTAAAAAAACAACTTAGCTAGGCTATTTGCAAATGGAAATTATCAGGCACCCTACAGTTCCAAGCACGACTCATACGTTGTATACGATTAGATAATTTATTATGGATTAAAGAACATATTGGTTATGTAGAAGGATATAAATCATATACTCATGTCGCTGCATTTAGCAAAGATTAGATTGCGCTTTTATGAACACACAGTCATTGACAAAGGTGATGGTAGCTGATGAGCCACTCGTGGAACCTTTGTATTGAGCGATCACTGTCAACAATCTTTATCCCCAGCCATAAGGAAAAGTAAAATATAAATCCTACTGAAATTTTGACTTGTTGACATATAACATGCCGTATCAACATCTTCAAATTCGAATATTTTCAATCATTATACTTCATAAACAGATGATATTTTGAACATTTGTTAGGGAGTCGGACAGTCACTCATATGTTGATAGAGGATGTGGGTGTTTAGAAGAAAACATCCACACCTATACCCTCTACGAAATTAATATTGTTTTCTATTATTATGAATAATTCAATTAAAATAAGTCTTTTATTGACATTTTTTATATAATTTCGATACCTTATTGAATTTTATCACTTTTTGATTGAACAAAGACTTTTCAATGTAATAACTTTTTTCGTTGTAATTCTTTTTGCTAATGGTAGTCGTGCGCTGAAACATATATATATAACACAACGTTGTCATTTTGTCTGAAACTTTTTTATTTCATTTTCATGCTGTGCTTGCATATATTGACCGACATTCATTGGTCTATGAAAATTTGATGATTTTATCGTTGAAGAACTTCTTGGTAGATTATCAACTGTAAATTGATTTGTGCTCAATACATGTTGATATATGACTGTTGTGAAGAAAATGCAATATATTGTTCAGCTGGACTGAGTTGATATTTATTGTTAGTAGGGATAGATGATGAGTGATGACGTGTATAAAGTTGTGGCCCATATGAGTTTGTTGTATTTGTTCTGAAAACAAACGATATAAAATACCTTTTCTATACTTCTATGAAAAACAATCCAATTTTGATAATGAGAACAATTTTCTTCTTTAATTGAAAACTATTCCAAGAAAAACGATTACGAGAGACACTAATCGCAAGAATCAGCTTCATAATAAAAAAAAATGTCTCTAGTTGGTGAAGCAGTTTAATGACATTGAAGGTACAAAAGGTTCTCTCAATGTTTGTGATAGGAATAGTAAAATTGTTACTGCTTCGATCAAAAATAGATGGAAGTTGTCCCATGCTCTAGTACACGTTGTGCCATCACATGATTCTATCCTTAGTGAAAGAACACCGTAGAAACGACTTCTCACTTTCGAATCATTCACCGAGCAAGAAAAGAAAGCTTACATAGTGCATAAGCATGAGCAAGAGCACGGCATAAACTCGTCTATCTCTGGCTACGACAGTCTACAAGAAAAGAAGTAATGTGAAATTTCGATTTTTAAGATAGGAAATCTTAAGAAATTTCAAATAGAATATGATAACCTACCTTCTTAATGAAATATTTGATATTGCGGATGGTGTATCAATTGTAGGTACGAATTATTGACCCATCGATTTTTTTCGTTGTCAACATTTAAGGTAAGGTTTTTCTATTAGACATTGTCTTAGATCATATAAATGAGGATTACACAAAATTGCATATGTATGATAGTATCGATTATATGCTATTTTTCTTGCCTTTCTCGTTTTCAACTGTAACATTTTTATAAGTATTGTTTAGTTTTGTTTGAATTTGTTCTGATAGTTGTGTATTTGATTGACTCAGTAATATGTTTTTGATTCAATAATTGAAGAAATACGACTTACAAATCCTGTTCGACTTCTATTATTTGGTATATCAATTGTTTCTTATACTATTAATATTTTCGATTTGTTCATACTCATCGCTTTCATCTAATGAATCAGGATCTACATATTCATATTCATCTTAATCATTATTATTATTGATAACGAAACTAACATTTGTTGTTGTTTCGTTTGTTTTGTATTGTTTCGATAATCGTTTTACTGCTTTTGAGAGTTTCAACATATGTAAACGAACTAATTTTATTCGATCGATAATTTCTGATGTTAATTCTGATATTTAGTACGTACTTTATGAAATTTTTGTTTGATTTGTTTCTATTGATCATGATCATTCTTGAATATTTCTATGAGATTTTTTTCTAAAAGAAAATGTTTTTCTTACTTTTAAGTAATATTGGATCAATGGATAGCATTAACGATGACAAAATATTTCGTTTTTAAAACATGAGCAACGTACAATAGTTCAATAATATCTTGCATTCGTATCAGATTTGAAAGATTCGAATGAAGATGACTACATGTATGACTAACAGTAGTAGATGTCGATGTTGAATCAGAAGAATAATAGCATGAACCACCTACGCGTTTCCATTCTTTTAGACAACAAAGTCGACTAACTAAGACATAAAGTTAGCAGATCATTTGATAACACATATCTATTATAGTTTGTTTAGTGTTTTACAGAACATCATAGTATTAAAATTGAGAATTCCAAATACATTCATCGAAGAAAATCGATAAATAACAGATGAACTAGAATATACAAACAATCTCCGTATTTCTTTGATATTTCTGGTCATTTCCATAGTTTCGAGTGGAGTTTTTTCTCAAAAGATTGAGCGTTCAATTTTGTAAAAAATGATATACAACTAAATTTGACAGACCACTGCATGTAAGCTTCCACGGAGCAACACCATTAAGCACAAGAACATTGCATTTCGACTGGGATGTAGATCAAGCTAAAAGTAACACCCACACTCACACCCTTTAATGTTTGTAAAACTTTACAAAAAGTACAATGGGTTTTATTAAAAAAATATTTATATTTTCCACATATTTATGCTAATAATAGATTGTATGGTTTTTTGCCTTCCTACCGTAGAAGAAACTTTTCCTCGATTTCTTCTACAAAAAAAAACAATAGAAAAGTTCTTGTAGGAAAAGAACTTTTCTCGATAGAATGTGATAAAGAACAGAAAATCTAAAAGCATTGCAAGTGTCATTTTTTGTCCACTTGCCGATTGAAAAAAAAGACACCGAATATGTCCATGATTCCTATGAAATCAATAATAATTGTTCTGGAAAAATCCGGCTAATGTAAGTTATTATGAAAATATTGAGATCGTCATCCAATTTCATAATTAGCTGTTGCACAAAGAAGTCTCTTTACGTAATAATTGCGCTATGGAATAATACAGTCGCGTGAGTTCGGTACCTTTTGGTGCTTGAAAACTTGTGGTAAAAATCTTGATTATGATACAAAAAGAACGTCTTGAATAATTAGAAAAATAATTCGAAAAGACTGTTCCGATTGAAGACCATTAATGCCTTCGCAATTTCAATAAACGAAGAAGTGACGCAAGTTTTCCTTTTCGATGAGGTCTATGATTCATTTCATGTGGAACATGCGTGTGATTTGCCAATGGATTATAATTAATAGTACCACCCCTGTCATATTGATGTGGAGTATACCAATAGTTCGTCAATGGAGTATAGCTGAACAGATCATCCCAAGTAAATTGACGTCCACACTTTTTACAAGTCATACGATTGCAACCGCCGTTCTTCTCGATGTTGCATTGACACCCTGGACATTTCTTTGTATGTGTTTCAATCCACTGTCGTGTCATGGTATCAGTAGATGGATACCATTGCTCATATTGATCACAAGTCATGCCTTCATGCCACTTAACACGATGAAAGGCACAGGTTTCTTTTTTGCATGCGATACAAGTCATTTTTGAATTTCGAATTGATATTGTATAATCATATTGACCAGAACCACATCCATGAGCACACCAAAAAAAATTATCATCACTTTCGAGGAATTGTCTAATCAGATTAGCATCGTATTTGTTCAACAATAGATGATCATTATTGACCAAGAGTACTTGACGAACCTCATTTGAACTCCATTTTGCCGGACAATTTGTCTCAGGACAGGACACTTGGCTACTAATAGCACTATCGAGAATAACTTTGACACTATAGTATGTACATGAATTGCAAATATAGCGATACATATGCTGACATGTTGTACTGTATGTAGGATAAAACTCTTGTTCAGGTTGCGCAATCAAACAGACAACACACTCGCGTGTTGGCATAGCCATATTACTACAATTGAGAATATTCGAATGTACAATTTAAACTCTCTTGGAGATTGACATAACTAACAACGATAGTAAGGTAGAAAACATTTGACAACTACAAAATCGTTCGAGACACATTTTACTAGGAAAATTTACAATTCACCATGCTGCAAATTTAGTGTGAAATTTTAATGTACTCGTAATTTTAACCAAATATGACTAAATAAAGTAATTCACTATCGAGTAATTGAACTATGTTTGAAAACTTTTGTGTATGAATAACTTCTTATTTACTAGTAGAACTATACAATTGAAATAGCTTTTGAATGATGAGTTATTTTTGATGCTACAAAAAGCCAAATTTCGAATGAAATCAATGACTCTTTATACAAATCGATCACCGTTCTCTTATTTTCCACTAAAACTTCTTCTTATCATTTCTCTTTCATGGTACCACCTTATCAGAAAGATTCTTGCAATATATAGTACTTGTTGAAAATTTAGACAAACATGATCATTCATAGTTATCAAAATATTTTATAATCAAATGGTAGCTATAGATCATTTCGCTGGACTTACTTTTCTTTGACTGTTGCAGTTTGCTCCGCCATCACTACATTCGTTTCATACGATGTATTTTGATTATGTTCCATCTCATTCTACAAAGACTAAGCTTAGATATGTCGCAATGAAAATTGATTAAAATTACATGCTGATAGTTATCGTAGTTCCATGGATAAGATGCATTAGGATTGGCTAAGTGATAGTTGCCAAACTGAGCTTGATACATCATGGAGACATAGGCCTGATATTCATCGTCTATAATAAATATGAGTGAATTCATATTTTTCGTATCGTTCTCGGCTGGTCTCATTCTAGCAATACTCTATTTTTAGCAATAGGCTTTCAATATCTATTAGTATCCACTCTACATCATATTGATGATTGGTAAAAGTTATCTTTGTCTACAGATACTTGCTTTTCTACATTCTATTTGAATAAAAATTTTAATTTTCAAAGAAATGTAATTTTGTTGTAGACTTTCCCGATAATTTCTAAAGATACAAGCTACAATTGGTGCAATATGAATCCCTTGAAAAAAAAACAAGTTTTTCTTTCAATCCCTATGTAAAGTACAGATAATTATTCATCACTAATCGAAATTAGATATTGACGATCATTCATTGCTAAAAACAAAGAAACTGGATATTTATCAATAAATTTTGGAGAAGAAATGAAGATAGTTGACTGTTCTTATGTAATGTCTTGTATCTCTGACAATCATGGGGTTATTTTTACAAGTAATTTACAGATTTTTCTCCAGAAAAACATATTAGATAACTATCAAAATAATGATTAGTTTCATTATTGTCAAAATGGATTCATTCTTCGATCTGATTCATATTCGCAATCATCGGTAAAAATCTCTTCGAACTTAATGCTATTTGTTGAGTTTCGCGATGAAACGTAAAACGATTGAACTACTAAACACCAACAAACTTAATGGAAGATCAGAAGCTTAAAGAGAGAAGACAGCAGAATTGTTAATGAAAAGCAGAACCGACCTCTGACAATTAAGTTCATAGATTTAGTGTTTTTCAATCGATTAAGGGAAATGAATGCTTCTTAAATTTTTATTCAGTGATTTCATGTGATGCACTCACTGTTTATTTGAGTCCATGTATTCATTGTAGTAGCTGGTTCTGGAACATCTAAATATGAAAATAACACTACTCTGTTGATTTTGTCTTTCTCTTACGAATTGGTGGTGATGCGTGAACATGATGTCGTTTTCTATGTTTTTCTTTATTTACTGATGGAAATTGGTGATCGGTAAACGGATTTTGCGAACGCATGTTTTCGTATGAGCGAAAGTCATTTGTATGAAAATCTTGACGTGTTGGTACTTGTTGATGATATGTAGTCTTATGTTGTCTTGTATAATCTACGATTGTAAATGAAACCTATTTTTGTCTTAAAACTAATAATGAAAACAAACCTCGTTGAAAAGTTGCTGGTGACATTGATCCAATATTAACTAATAGTTGATCATCTTCATAATTTTTATTAAATTTCACACTGGATGAATAGGGCTGAGCAGTATGAAAATAATCTTGTTCAAGACGATTGAGTATACTTTGAATATCAATTAGTTCCATATCATTGAAATTATTATTTGCTATTATTGACATGTGTGGTGGAGCATATCTTTCTGATGACTCATTAAACAATACTTCTGCAGGGTATTGTAATTCCAGAGCAAGATTACGGTTAAAAGTATTTGATTCATCAAGTGCTATTTGTTTGTATAATATATCTTGATCGTATGCTTGCTCTTGTGGTGGAATGGCATATTGGAAACTGTCCTGCAACCAAGAGTTTTGATGATTGGCTAATCGATGTTGATCGTGATTGTATGAATGAGGAATTTGTCTCGTTGTAAGTTGTGTCACTGGTGAATAATTATATGAATCTATTGTCGACGGTTGTCCACGTATTGTTCTATTATTAACTTGAGCTTTCGATGGACGATTAATCGATACCTTCTGTCTTGTAGAACTAAACGATGAAAAAGATTCATTTTCCAATTGTTTTGCGAAGAACTCATTCTTACTATGATGTTTCTATTTTTTTAGGACTAGTAACATTTCTATGATGTCGTTGATGGTTTCTGTTTTGATCGTTTGGAGATCGTTGTACTTGATAATTTTCAAATGATGATGGATTTCCTTGATTATTGAATAGACGTACAAGTTCGGCGACACTCATTCTATCTATAATGAAATCTTATGATGAAGCTCAATTTTGATGGAACTATTTCCATTTCACAAACAAAGATTCGTGGGTACATTTTGAAGAGTTTTTTTTATAGAAACATGATGGAGAACTGTAATTTTCATCGCTAGGAAAAAACAATGTAGATGCATCGAATTATATAATACAGATTCGTCTCGAAAGTTTTGTAGACAATTTAGAATCAAGCTTTTTGAAAATGAATGTTCCTCATTTGATCACTATAATGAATTTTCAATTGAAGTGAGTATATTAGAAACATCAAATAGAAAATTTTTAAAAACTGCGGAAGACTCAGTTTTTGAACTTTATTCATTCAAAAGTTACGAACATTTTACTGAAAGCTTCTATCTTATGTTTAGAAAGAAATAGAACAAAAACTGGCATTTTCGTTGTATTTTCATGAAGTTTTGCTTTACCAATCCATCTGAGTAACGAATTTTTTTTGAAAAAAAACGATCAATAGAAAACCTCGACTAATATGGGAGCAAAATTTACCTTATGTGATACGATGCATCGTTACCTTTTTCTAAAGAGAAAACACAACTATGCATTGTGTTAGTATAAAAAAATTATTCAAAAACTACTTATTTCTCTTCCTTTAAATGAATAATCTAGTATCGCTTGGATTTTTCCCACCTCATATATCATGAGCAGAATGATTTACGACGTTTCTAAAAGTTGGTCATTCACCTGAGTCTCTATTGTACATCATTTATGTTATACTATGAATAGGTTGCTGGTTGTGAAGAAAAGCGAAGTAGATGACAATGCGATATACATATGCAAAAAAAGAAGGAAGCATGTGGAGAGAATAAATCTAACCAAGCACTACTAAAGCAGTTCCCAATTTTATCTACTATACGTGATTTTATCTAATACATATGTTTCATGTCAACGAGCGAGCAATTTTTTATGAGTCATGTACTTGCACACGAAAAAGGAAGTGTTACGTAAGATTAAGTCATTATTACAAAGTTTCATCATAATTTTCAACGAGAATATGTATTCGAAAATCACAGTCGTTATTCAATAACAAGTCAGCATAGCGATTTTCAAAACAAAGAATTAGGAATTTTTACTCATTTTCACTTTCCTCTTTTTGTCTATTTTGTTCAATATTGCTGTTCATCAATTCGGCATACACGCCCACATTCACACATACCATATCCATCTACATACCACACCCAATTTTTTAATGTTCGTTAGAAAAAAGGATAGGCATTCTTCTTTGATGTTTTTTTATTAAAAATGAGATTTTCGAAAGTTAAATATTTTTTTATTTTATATGACAATATTTTCAGGTTGATCAAAGGAATAATTTTAAAATCAGGTTTTATTAAATTAGCTTGAATATATGATGTCTTTTAAATGCATTCTAATCTATGAATAAAATTAATTTAGATAAAATAAATCAAAAAGAATTTTTTCTGTTTTTAAACATATTAACTTAAATATACTTACAGTTTAGTTGTTGTTCTTTTATATAATTAATTTTATTCCATTCAATTTGATTATTCTCAATAATAATTGTTTTAGTTTTATCTTTTTGAATAAGTTGTTCAAATTATTTTTTGTAATTGATTAATTTTTAGTTTAAGTTGATCAATATCATTTTTGACAAAAATTTCTTCTTCTCGACGATAACGAATTTCCTTTGTAATTGAATCAAGTTCTTTTGTTGTTTGTATTTTTTGTTTATTAATTAATTCAATAAGTTGATGTTGAGCGTTTTCTGCTGCTAATTCTACTTTTTCGAAATGTTATTTTTTTTCATCGTTCAAGTTGATTGAAAAGATCTGATGATAAATTATTTGATTTTTCTAACTTTTGTATTTGACCCAGAAGTTCATCATAAGATCTTACAACTTCAAAAATGTTCTTTAAAATCGTTTCGACGAAAATATTTCTTACATCCAATACAAAAATATTTAGCTGAAAATTTATTACAGATTGAACATATATTTGATTCATTTACTGTTGCCATTTATTTTAGAAGAAAATTTAATTTGTTATGAAAATGTCTCGAATAAATTCTATCTAAAAATAACCGATATGATTTTTTCAATACATTTGTTTTATGACTTTTGAAAAGATTTGCATTGCTTCATCTAATTCGATAATTTTCTTTTCAATTTGATGTGAGTGTAGGAGTGGGTGGGTGTGAACACGTGTTAGAGAACATCCACCATTCAGTCCTGCTGTCGATTAACTCATATCGCCACGTGTAAAGCGAAAAAAGTAATCAAGAGAGGTTCTTATACTTTGATTCGACTCTTGTTATCCGAGTGGATGTAAATGTCTAATCACATGAAAACTATTAAACCTTGAAGAACTGTTTGTAATATTCCTCCTTTGTCTCCTTTTGTGTGTTGACAACATAAATTGATAGTACTTGTTTAATCTGAGTGTGAGTATGAGTATTCATCCTTCTTTAACCCACATCCACATATTCTGGCACTTTTTAAGTTATTTTTGGGCTATATGTGAAATAATCTAGCGAAATATAAGATTTATAATGGAATAGTTATTGGATGCTGATTCTTTTCGTTGGTAGAAACGTTTCTTTTTCGCATTATACTATTTGTAGTCCCATAAAAATAAATTACTCATTCAGTTTCTTTTATTTCGGTGCCGTTTAAAGAATTATTTATTTATCGGCGGTCTTATTATATCACAATAAAATATATATAACGAAACCTGCAAATTTGCAAGTCATCCTACTATGTTCTGTAAGTTTTTTTTTTGTCGAAGCACGTGTCAGTATTCGTTATCCTTTCTTTAACTGATAGTGTGTTATTGTTTGCACCTGTTGAGGCAGATTCAGTTTTTCCTTCAATTTGATTGGTTCGCTTAAATATGGATTCATTTTCGATTTTTTTATATTTAAAATATAATACAACAGGTTTTATTTTCATGAGCAAAACAATCCAAACATAACAAGTATTGTGTAATTTCTTTATATTGTGATATGATGTAGAATTGCGAAATTTTGTTTTTGATAAGTGATAACGAAGAACCGTTTATAAAATGGCAATTTTTTTTTTGCAATCTAGGAATCAGTGTGCCGACAACATTTGACTATATTCTTTTCTTGTTACATATTAGTTTTATATAATAAAATGTAGATTAGTTTTTGATTCTTAGTCGTTATTCTGTATAAACCATTCGATAATGATAATTGTGTTGGTCACTATCGTAGTTCTTCTAACAACTATTTATGTTTACTTCAAACGAGCATATTTTACGTCTCACGACTCTTTACCAGGCTTGTCACCGCAACTTTTAGTCGGTAACCTTGCTCAAACAGGAATAACTAGAGGTAAACCACCGGCTGTGGTTTTCTTAGAATGGCAAGACAAATATGGTGATGTTTTTAAATTTTGGTTTGGATCAATGCCTCTCATATTTGTGTGTGGAATTCAAGATGTTCAACATATATTTACACATCGACAGATTTATGAACAAGGCGATTCACGTTTACATAAACAAAAACTTTTATTTCATGATGCTCTTCTCTGTAATATAGGTTTGTAATATATATTCTTTGATACAAATTTATAAGATCCAGACAAAATCAGTTCAAAGATTATCTACATAGTAATGAAATAAGATTTCATATTTTACTTTGATAGTTAAGTTTTATTGAGTATGAGTATATTTGTTGTTTTAACGATGTATGAATAGAGATTATAGTCCATTTGGTTGAAAATTATCGAATCAAGATCTGATTTATTGAATGTTTTTGGCACCCAGACCAGTTGATCGAAATTTTTCTAATTGGGAACTGTTCTCTAGTCTTCTCAAAGAAACTTTCTAATCGGGATCAGATAGTCGCCCCAATGCTATGAAATATTTTTTCCGGCTTTTCGTATCAGGCGACTAGTGTACCCTACTAATTTCTCAGACAAGTAGAACCCATCTGTTTCAAAGTTTTCTGATTTGGATCTACTCATGTTCAAGTTCAGAAGCAACCCAACGAGCTTTAATAGGCATTTATCTTCCTCTCTTCATTTTTTTTTCGGATAGGAGCAAAACATAAACGCCATGCAGCTTTAACTGCACCTCTATTTCGTCGAGCTAAAATTTTATCGTATCTGGATTTAATTGTTAATTGTACTGATAAATTACTTGGACAATGGCGTTCAAAATCTGAAGACCCTACATATGTACATCTCGACATTGTTACCAAATGTCGAAATCTTCTACTCGACATTTTTGGTTTTATTGCATTCGATTATGATCTTGAATGTTTGGATTCAAATAACATGACCGAACAAAAGAAGCTTACTCAAGCACTAAGCGACTTTTTGGATATTTTCGTTCGGGTTATGCGTATGCCTATATTTATGATAAAACTGTATTTAGCAACTAGTTCTCGTTATCGAAAAGCAATATTTACTATACATGAATATTTCAATCAAATGATTGCACAAGAACAAAGAAAGACACCTGAACAGATTGCCGAAAGAAAGAGAACAAGTCTTATTGCATCGCTTGTTGGATCATTGCAAGAAGACGAAAAAAGTGAAGCAGCAAAATCAGAAGAAGATAAAAGAGGTAATAATATGTATTGAAAATCTTGATCTCAAAAAAGAAAATCTTTTTTCTCTTGTATAGATGATAAATGAATATAAAGCAATTATTTATTTTTAATCGTGATATATTTTGTTTTAGGGTTATCTAGAAGTGAAGTCTTTGATGAAATGTTGCTCTTCTTAGTAGCTGGCTATGAGACTACAGCAACTGCTATAGCGTGGTTTATACATTTGATGAGTAAACATCCACAAGTTCAAACGAAAATCAAAGCAGAATTAGCACAAAATACTCAACATAAACTTTCAATAGATCAACTTGATTGTCTTGTTTATTTGGATTGTGTTATTGAAGAAGTACTTCGATTTGTTCCGCCCGCAAGTGGTACTGCGCGAACATTAACAAGAAATGATCAACTTCCTCAAAGCGGAATAAAATTGCACAAAGGAGATCAAATCATGATAGCTGCTTATAATTTGGCTCGAGATAAAAGATACTGGAATATTGATCCTGACTTATTCTACCCAGAACGTTTTCAAGGAGAAGACAAAAATCATCATCCATATGCATTAATTTCATTCGGTGGTGGTCATCGACAATGCATGGGTCAAGATTTAGCGAAATTTGAAGTTAAAGTTATTGCAGCTAGACTTATGCAACATGTTACATTTGGAGATGGTGGACCTGAAATAAATCAACGTGGATATGAACAAAAATTAACGATCGTACCTCGACATCTAGGGGTTACAATTACTTTCGACTAGTATTCTTTGTGTAACTGTTGAGTTATAAAGAAAAAACTATTCAACATGTGTTATTTAGCAATGAGCCTTAAGAGGATGTGGGTGTCGGGTGTAGGTATAGTTCTGAGTCTAGTTCTCTTCTAATCACACACTTATACTCCTGATATAAATTAAAGTACATTAAGAATAACATTTATTAGTTGTCCATTCACTGATCGCTAGTCTGAGAAATCCTAGATATCGTCATAAGTAAGATATTTAGTTGTCGTTCGTATATATCATCTTCTGATATTTATCATAGTATGTGTTTGCAAAAGGCTCGCTTGTCTTTTTTGAGCAAACCACCAATTTTGAGCCACTCATCGGTAATAATACGCCGAAATGTTCTCTAGAATTACACATTTCTGTCAATGTAAATACAATTCATGTTCACGAAAGACAGAATTACTAAAGATCTGAGCTTGAAGACAAATATTATTATGTATTCCAAAATCTTTCTTATAGATTCTTGAGAAGAAAAGGTGATCTTCGTATTTCTTCTTAACATTTTGTTTTCTTATGGAATTATGAATCTTCCTGGCATTTAAAAAAAAAACTTCTTTAAAATCGTTTGAACGGAAGTTTGAATTGATTTTTGACTTTTGAATAGGCTTTGTTTGTCAGAATAAACATGTGTTTTTGGATTTTAAGCATTCTCCTCAATGTCAAACTTGGATTCTGTATAAATGACTACTTCTGTTCTCCTCTTACATTATCTGACTAAGCTTAGACAGTTCATAAAAGATCAAATTGTTCGTTTGTTTACGTTGCTCTGGCTCTAGATTAAACAATTTTACGAAAAATAGGATCTAACTGCTTCACCGAAAAATTTCATCACGTTGCAAGCCAATAAAAAACTAAGTATGATATGTGAAGATTACCAATATCTAGAATAGGACTGTGGAAAGTCAATGCAAAACATATGGAAAGCAACAAAAACACTACAAAATACAGTTAGATTACATTACTTTTGATGGTTCTGTTCACGGTGCACTATGTATACAAAATCTTGAGTATCTTCTATTTTGATATTGCCAGATAGGGTATGTAAGAAGAAAATTGAATTTCGCTCGAATTTTTTATTCATGCAAAATCAAGTTTATACGTAAACTATATAGTTCGATAGAATAATTCATGCTCTATTCGATGATATCAAAATAAGAAGCATGCGAAGTTTTTTAATAAATAGCACAACGTGAAGAAAACTATCAAAAATAAAGTAATCAACCTGTATGCAATCCATAATGCAGAGAGTCCAAGAGGGAAAAAACTGACTTCGTGATTCCATGACTCTATTGACTCTAACTGGTTCCAACTCAAGGAAAAAACAGCTGACTGGAGAAATTGAGTCAACGGAGTCAGCTTTCTCTCCCTTGAGAGAATCACTAAGGCACTTGGAAAAATAGATGCAAATACTTAGACAACTTCTATTACATATTCGTATGACGTTCATATTGATTTGAACATCGATATTCGAAATTTCTAAAGTCTATCCTTTCATGTTATAGACTCAACGTTTGAAAGTGATAAGTAATTCTTACATAAGGTGTTTCGAATAACGAGTTCACATTGCAACTAGAGATTTGGATAATAAGGAGCAAAAGACACCAAGTCGTATACACATGCATATTTGTATTGAATAGAGTCACAAGTGCACAGTGATAAAATTTCAAGGACGATAATAAATCGAATGTTACATAGAATCTCTGCCTGATTCATTTCACTGTTATATATGAATGCTTATAGAACAGTATAAGCAAAGTCTTATCATAGAACCAAGTGCTACTAAATATTAATTTCAAAAGTAATTGTTTTTACTGTAAAGATAAATTCATTAAATGATTTTTTACGAAAAAATAGTTGAACATGAGATTTTTAGCCTTACATAAACATTTGCAATTGCATAGAATTACCAATAACATATATGAAACGAAAGACACACACCAAATCGAATCGTATTATGATAAAATTTAAGATTATATTATGCTTCAAAATCATCTCGTGAATTAACGAAATTAACTTATTTATAACAATATGTAACTAAACATAAGTTTTACCTAAGCTTTATATTCTGCTATATAATAATGCAATAATAACAATAATATATATTTTATACGGTCAGATGAAATTAATATCAAATGAATAATGCAGAAAAGAATGTATTATTCTGATTAAGAAATTCACTAGAAGACACATAATTAATAAAACATTTTCAGTTATTTTTCAATATTGTTTAATCGATATTGGTACGACTTTTTTTTTCTATTTGACTGATGAAAATCTTATAAACATTTATTTGATAATCAAAGGAAACAAATGGTTGATTCAACCATAATGTGATTTGAAATTTGATTTAATGGTAATAAATTCTTTTGTTTTTCTTTTTTGTCATCATTTTCTTGCAAAACATTTCGCATGATATTTATTTATTACGGTTTTATTTACCTTAATAATAATATTAAGAATAAAAAAAAAAATTTCTTTTATCAATTATTCTATTATTCTATCATGATGAATATATCATTTCTTTCAAATCATTTTCAACTACGTATCGAGAATTTTGAATTGATCTATTTTAAAAGATAACTTTTGAAAATTCTCAATTCTTTAATGATGAACTGGAAATATTTTAATAACATCAAAATATTCAAATTAAAAATGAATCTTTAATGCAAAATTAATAAAAATGAATATTATTCGATTTGTTTTTCAAGATTGCATGAATTACTCAAGATTATTATAAACAACATTAAAAACGATGGCGATTTTCCAAAAATAACCATGTCGATCAATGTTAAACTTTATGTACTCGATGATTTCTATTAACACACACAGAGATTACTCTCTCGATCAAATGGCAAACCAACGTGATCCAAGAATTGATTTGATTTACTTTCCTGACCATGTTCATCAATGAAAACATTTCCTTGTGTAACTCCTTGAGAGCAACGCATAATTCGATGATTTGAACGATCAGCCAAATAGATAGTACCTAACTGATCTACGATAATGCCATAAGGATTTGGCAATTGTGAAAGACAATAGCCTTCATCTTCACCATCGGCTACAATAATTCCTTGTTTTTCACCTTTCATCCATTTCATTACACGATTATTATCGTAATCTAATACGTACACTGAATGATCTTGATCGACGAATATGTATCTAGGAGAAGACAACTGATTGAGACGATTTCCTTGTCCATTTCCACCTGCAACAACTGTTCCTTGATTTTCTCCGATTCGATATCGTCTAACTTCATGTTCATCTTCATCAGCAACATAGAGAAATCCATCATCATCCATTGCTAATCCATAACATCCAACATTTGATATGATAGTTTCTCCATTTGTACCATTTTGACGAGGCCATCGAACTACTCTTTCATTTGCATAATCACAAATGATAAGACTATTGCTTGTTTTATCAACAATAACATCTGTCGGATAATTCAACTGATCAGAACGGTTTCCTTCGCCATTTCCACCGGCAACAACTCGACCAGTTTTTGCACCACATTTCCATTCCACAATACGATGATTCCAGCAGTCAGCAATATAAACAGTTTGATCATCATCAATATACAAACCACAAGGATGATAAAGTTGATCCATCGCATTACTATAGTCATTTTCTTCAGTTATAGTGATTCTATTTTGTATCCATTTAGCATTTGCATTTACATTAGCATCATGTAAAAGTGTTGCTGAAATAGAAAAAAAAACTCATCTAGTTCATTTATATTGCATTTATTTACATCGATGAAAATGAATACTCAATGATTGAATCAAACAAATCCTCAATGTTACGCTCATTGTTTTGATATTTTGAAGGAAGAAAAATTAGATTTGTTTTATGAAATGATGATAAGCTTTTGAATGTTCAATTTTTGTCTTGATTTCATCGTCAGAGCTGTACGCGGAGTCGATTTTGGAATCGTCGTCGAAGTCAACTAAACTTTTGGTAAAAAATTTAGTTGACTTCGACGACTCTAAAATCACTCCGTGCAGAGTTTTATTCTTCGATTTTTTCTTATTGAAATTGATTTCCAAGAACTTGAAAATTTTTGATAATATTTTTTTGAAATCCTTTTACACACAAATAAACTTTAAATTATCAAAATTACAATGAAAATTATTTCTCTCGAACGATTCGAAAGGTATTTATGGACAATGATTAACAATTCAGACTTGTTTTTCATTTAGAGATTTAAAAAAAACAAGCATACAAATGTTCGATAATTAGAAAAGATTATTTAAATTTGTGTTCATATCTTTTACATTCGATTGAAAGTTTAACATATTGTGTTGATTTTCCCTCTTCGAATAACATTAAACCTTGACTTTAAAGATGTATCTTGACTAAGAAAAAAATCACATGAGAATCTTTGTTTTTATGATTTATTACTTTTGAATAATAATTGATTGATTAAAAAAGAACTAAACAGATGAAGAAAATTCGAATGACTTAGCAATATATGTTTTGTTCTGAATAAAAATACATGAAATAAGAGAATTATGTTTTCAAAGATTTTTTTCCCTTAACTAAAACATTTCAAGGAAAAATAACTAAATTTCTATTTGGTAGAAATGGATTTAGAAATGAAATTAATTGTTTGTAGAAAAAGTTGATTTTAAGTTTAAATGATATAATCAAAAATCCTTGTTTTCATTTCGTTTGATTTCGCATCGAAAATGTAAGAAAAGAACTAAATCATTTTAATAGTTGTGAGATTTCGATCTGTTTTTTTTGTGTTTATTTAATTTGAAAAAAAAACAAATCTATCATGTTCTTATGAATACTTATGTTATAAGCGTATTTGATATTGTTTTGAAAAGTTATCCATGTAATAGTAGTCGAAACGAAAAAATATCTCATTATGATTAAATTGGATTAAAAATGAGAGAAATAAATGATATCAAAAATTAATCTTACCGTAGTATTTTGATGAATTTTGCTTTTCGAGTTGTTACATCCCAAAATTGAAAGTTTTGTGATTTCTTTTTTTTCGATTCAAAAAAAAATTCAAACCTTAACTAAATCAAATTCGTTCTTAGATAGAGATAAAATAGGATTTCTCAATGTTTTTTCTTAAATTAATATCGATCGTTGTTTTTGAACTATTCTGTTGAATTTCCTATTCAGTATTGAATATTTGAATAGAAAATCTTGTTGCTCGTTGTTTTCTTTTTTTTTTGTTCATTTCAATAAAGTTTTAAAATGATATTGTTCAACAAGAGAAGTTTTTCGATAAAATAAGATAAAGAAGAACTTTCTCGAGTTCAATTCAAATACACGATTTACCTTGGTTTGTAAGACGAATTTTATTGATGAATGTTGTTGGATCTTGTTCAATTATGAAATCTGTTGAATTATTAAGAATATCTTTTAATTGTTTCAATTCTTCATTAAAACGTTGAATTTCTAAATCAGAAAAATCATTTTCTTTACGACATTGAATCAATTCTTCTGTCAATTGTTTCATTTTCAAATCAAGATCAAGTGTAAAATCGATTATATATGATGAAAGTTCATAACGAATTTCATTTGCTATTTGTCGAATTTTTTCAATTGATTCAATTTCCCATATATCGATTTGTTTCATTAATTCATTGTTCTGTGGTTCAATTTTTTGTGCTTCAATTTTAATTTTGATTTCATTAAATTGATCTTCACATTGATCGAATTGTTCATTTATTTCGTTACGATGTTCAACTATATGATCAAAGCAAAAATCTTGAGAACATCCACTACATTTTATTGTGTTTTTCACTTTTTTGCATTTAACACACGAAGTTTTGGTAGTTGTTATGACCATATTATAATCTATTGTGAAAAAAAAAGAAATAAATGAGAAAAGATTGATTAAATACAATAACAACAATATTTGAGTTTTTTTTTTGCTTGTTATATGAATAAAAGAATTTACGACAAATCTCATATCAAAGTTTGAAAATTACACATCGGAAAAACAAAAAGAAATTTCGATGTACATTTAATTCAAATTTACAATTAAAAATCAAACAAAAAACGAATTTTTTTTCTTTCTTAATTTCTGGTTTTCTTTCGTCTTTCCATTCCAATAGTATGTTGTCAGTTCCTATATGACTCACACTTTATTAGCAGGTTATACATTTAATTAGTTTATGATTTCTACCAAAGCTGTTCTCTGTATATAATTTAGTTATCAAAAAAAATTCGTATTGTTTGTACTTTTCTCTATAGTTTTTATCAAAGAAATACTGACAGAATGACAAGAATATATTAAAGCAAGTAGCGAACATATAGTAATTATGCTTCTTTTTTAGTTCTCGAGTGTATTATGTAAAAATGTTTTGGATTATTTGTTGGTTCAAGATATGCTATAGATATTGCTAGTGAGAAGTGCATTTGCTTAAATTCAATTTGAATATAGCTCATCTCGACTCAACTAAAAGCAAATAAGAAATATGTTTTAATTCCTCTGACAATATATTACAAGACAAGATAATTCATTGATGTATTTAACGATGAAATTTATTTGATGATTTCAAGAGAATTTGTTGATTTCATATAAATACAGGTGTTGTAGATTTATACATGACATTCGATGATACTGAAAACCTGTGAAGAGAACAATGTTCTTGACTAAATCGAAATTCAAAATATGATTTCTACATTTGTTCATCAAGTCATATAGGATTTGGTGTGTCCTGTTCTACTTTGTAGACGAAACAATTTGAATACGTGTACAATGAAATACCATTATCTTCTTTACATACTTATGATTACTTGTTTGAAATCCTCGATGATGATAATTATGAAGATAAAAAATCAATGCATAACGTCTTTACAATCTCTCCGAGTATTTATACCAAAGCTATTGCAATTCAATAATGTTTTGTTGACTCATAGAGTATTATTTGTCAAAATGTTGGGATTCTTTCCTTTGTTAATATTCTACAATGACACAAGGAGAGAGTAGATAGTGATTATTTTGATGACGAGGGAAATAACTTCGCTGTCAGAAAGGATATTATCATTGCAAATAGGTGAGCAAAATCCTATCTATATCAATACGACAATGACTCATAGGGACAAAAAAAGCACAGAGCAGCTTTGTGACATTCTCGGTTGAGTCTATTATGAGCCATTATCTATTTTCATTACTTGGTTGAATTGACTGTTCATACGTAGTGTTTAACATTCCATTGTCAACTCTTCATATCATGTGTTTTATTCTTCTTTCTATCATAATTATGTATCGTGAACCATCGTGCTTTCCTTGACTCATTTTCTCTTCTTTTTTTTCTCTCCTAGCTGCGTATGAAAACGTGTAATTTTGATGTAAACAATACGCTTAACAACATGAAGAAGCCAAAATGAAGCGTAACTCCATCAGCACTAGTGATTCTTGTTCTTGTATGCAAAATTGTCACAAGCTTCTAAATGCGAAATTTCGTTTCATTTCAGTATTTACAAGCACCACGAAAGAAATAACTATTGTCTGATTTTTTTAAAAAATGCCTTTCACCATTTTTTTGAATAACTTCTGATCGTTTATAGCTATCGAAGTCGGGTTTTTCTCAGTAGAAAGAACAATATCGTGACTTTCTATTTATGTAACATTCATTAAAGTCGACGAACCTTTACGAACATATTTGCAGGTGAACATTTTTTTTTTGTTTTGTATAGCGGTTTGATTTTGTCATCCTCACTTCGGGCTCGTGCTTCAAGAAATCGAAGAGTTGTTGAAATGGACAACAAAAAAAGGTCAATTGCAAATATCTTTGTAAAACTTCTTCAAACTTAATCAATGTTACGTAGATAGATGCCTCCAACATTGCTCTATGTACGGACGAAAACCTGACTTCGATAGCTATAAACGATCGGAAGTTATTACAAAAAAATAGTGATTGATATTTTCAAAAAATAGTTTTGTTTATTTCTTTCGTAATTTTGTAATAAGAAACAGGTTGTTTCAAAATTATTCTTTGACTTAGTTAATATTGAAGAGATCATCTTTGCAACCAATGCTTAATCCATTTTTCAAATGTTTTCTCTATGAAAATAAATCAGTTTAATAAAAAGTTTGTAAAAAATTATATGCACGAATCGAAAGTATGAGTTCTAATCAACAATTTCATTGATAGAATATCAGATTTTCACTAGGCATCTCATGTCATAAAGGCATAAAATAACTAAATTTTCTATTTTTGTAGGTATTTCGATTATTATTCAAGAAGAAAAATACTTATTAAAATCATGTCTGATATTAATAAATAGACTGGTTAAAATTCATCAAAGCTCCTAAATCAGTTCCAATTGTTGTCTTCGTGATTTCACACGAAAGGTTGTTTTTATTATAGTTTGCTTTGCCACATGCATTTTATGGTAACTATTCAAAGAAAACTCTATAATACATAACATAATAGACTTCATCGTGAGAATAGATTAAGAATGATGATTTTACAAGATCCGTATCTGAATCGGGCGACAGATTCGTTTTTTTACTATAGTAGTAAGCAACAAAAGCATTACTTTAGGCTCATTCTTTATAGACAATAGAAGTATCACGTCAGAGCTTGTGCTTATTAGAGAGCAAGGATTCTTTTGAGTTCTACCGTTTTATGTAATTGTTGTCAATTGTAAATGCAATTTGATTTAGAGTCCCCTGGGGTAACTCGGATCAAAAATTAGATATATTCAATTTGTTTTCGCTCATTCTCAGCCGTTTAACATCATCAATCGATTATTTTTGGATCATAATTAGTTTGAAG